AATTTTTATCGAACTATTGATAATTTTTGCGAGAAAAATGCTAAAATTTGGCTACTTTTAAATTTTTAAAAAAATAAGAACTACAAAAACTGTTTTTTTGTTCATTTTTTTATTAAATCAAATAATTAAAAATATGATTTTAACGTATTCTCAGAATGTGTAAATTATTAAAATAAAATTACGAAATATTGATTGTATCAAAAGTAATGAGAGTTGTCAGTTAGACACGATTCTTTCTGTATATTTGTGTACAGGTGGAGTTTAGCAATTATTTTTCAACAAGATATTTGAAAAGAATTTCATATTATAATAGTCAATGTTTTATAACGATCTTAATTGATCATCTTAGAGCTTAAATAGAAATAAGCTGAGTGAGTGAGGTTTGAAGTATCAGTCATTAGAATATTACGTTTGCTATGGTTTCTTGCTTGCTATTCAAAGACAATTAATCTCATATGCTCAGTCTGGTTTATGTTTAAGAATATTGTCAATTTGTTTTTCGATACAACTTAATGTTAACTGGTAGTAAAGAATACGGTAATAATTTGCCCATAAACAACGTAAGTGGACCTGTAAACAAATGTGGAAAACATTAAGAGTGTGTTATATTTTACTAGGAATTAGCTCAGAATTATTTGGACGATTATTTTTAAGTGCAGTCGTAGAATATTATGCTATGTTATTAATTATCCGTCAACTGTAACAATGCTTAAATATAATATTGATGTAATTATCTGTTAGGTTGTCTGGACATTATATTTTATATTGATATGGACAAAGTGCATGTTCACAAAGAAAATCAAACAAAACTTTAATCAAAATGGCGCTCGGAATACTTTAATAGTTTTCATTTAATAAAACGAAGGTAACTCATAAATAGTAATAATATGGTAATACTTAAAATTATAGTAATTATATCACAAAGTAGTGAGTAATACTTAATTTAAACGAAACTCAAGTTTTTACACACTGAAGAAACGTGTAATTGAGTTAAAAGTCTGGTGTCTGTGAAGGCGTCGAAGATTTACTAATTGAAATTTTTAGTTTTAGTTGATAATATTTTGTTACATTAAAGAATGAATTATTTTAGCGAAAGTTAAGAACTCTTGCGTTACAATCATTTGCAAGCATTTAGATTTAATCGTTTACTAAAATAATTGTTTGGTAAGTTTTTCGTCAAAACTCGTTTACCACCAAATGTAACAATTTGAAAGTCTTAGTTGGTGAGCGAAATCAAAGGAAATTATATAATTGTAAGAACATGAAAAAAAATATTTACATATTATACACTTAAAGTTAAGTTATTCTAAAAATGTGTACTAATATTTTTTAAACATAGGTAACTTTCCAATAAAGTAGGAAAAACAACCTAATAAAAAATCGAACTCGGCAATGTTTTCCTTTATTTTTATAAAAATAGTACGGATCTTCGATATTATGTTAAAATAACACGTATTGGAATTTTTTTATCATTTCTTACAGTGTTGTTCATGTATAGAATAATGAAGTGATGGTTTTCACATTGGTTTGCCTTCGACTATTTTTAACAAAGATTGAAATTAATTTTATACTTTTTCGAAAATTAATTATTGCGTATTAAAGTGACACAGAAAATATTAAAGAAATATATTGCAAATGAAGAAAAAAAAGTTAGGCAGACTTGCACAACTACTTTTATAATTTCTGATGTTTCGCGTCTTAAGTATTGTTTATAATATCGTAGCAAACAATGACAATAGAAAATGTGGAAGTTTTATTACTGGAAATGTGAAAAGCAAAATCAAAATGAACGTACGTGTTGTGTGTCGAATACGAAAGAAAACGGGATGTAAAAAATAAATGAGATCTCAAAAAAAAAGAAAAAATTACAATCTTTACGATGTAGATAGAACAGTAGAGAATTTAGGAAGGAAAGAATAGTGAACGAACAGTGTATCAGCCAGAGAGATGGTTATGACAAAATAATATAGCTCGGGTGGGGGACGTTATAACAAAAGCTCGAGCTTAAGGAGAGACGAAGGACGACATTAACTCGGCGGCCACTGCTGGGACGACGACGACGACAACGACAATGAAGACGGCGGTGGCAGTTTCCTTGTTTTATTTAGAAGGGGTGAAACGGTCGCCCGGGGGTTTCGTCGGCGAGTACCGAGGGGGTAGTCCCGGCGGGGAACGCCGGCGGTTCCCCATTGGTCGGGTTCGTAAAAGTTTCGGTGCCTCAGGCCACGGCTTCGCCGCCGTCCGCCATTTCCATACGCCACCGTATATGGAGGGGCCGCTACCCACCCGTCCACCCAAACATTACCCGCTCGTCCCGTCCATCCAGTCAAAATCCCAAACGCAACGCTGGCGACCCCTCGGCGTACATTCGCTTTCAAGTTATAACTAATGTATATGTAGAGCCGTGCGTGTACATTTGTGAGTAGAAGATTCTGGAAAGGGATGGTTTCTGTTTTTCATCGTAAATGGCGGAACGCAGGGAGAAGAAAAAATATAATATTAAATATGCCTGTTCCAGAACAGACAGGATTAACCAGTAAACAAGGCATCTTTTTGTACGAAGCAAATATATAATAGAAATGTACAAACAGATGATAACACATAACTCGCACACGTTAAATACTATTATTGTATTTTTTTATGACCTGGAAAAAAAAATAACCTAGTAATTAAGTGAGACGAGATGGTTAGAGGAATTAATAGGAGTCGCTAATGTTTTCTGTTTTTAAGTTGTATAAGGTAATATCCAATCATTTAACTGCATTTATCCTTTTTTAGTAACTATTTTACTATGATGTTTACTAGCTTAGCTGGAAAATTGTTAAGAAGGGTGTTTATTTTTGTTTACTTTCCCATCCCTTATAGTATATATCATTTTTATTCGTTGTAAGATGGACTTGTACATTTTTAAACGATTTAATTAGCTTTGATTACGACTAAGACTCCCTTTCGCATTTACGTTTAAATTTTACTTTAAAGTTTTCCCTTTGGAAGAAAATAAACACCATGAACATTTGTTTTACTTGTTCATAATATTCAAAAAATTCGATTTCATTAATGTTTCCGTTAAAACGATAAGAATTACTGCGCTGGAAGTTTTATTATGTTTCAATTGGCGAATATTGACTTGAATACAACTGCTTAACATTAATTTTTTCTACTAAATTTACATTCTTATAAAGAAAATGAAAATTCAAGTGATGAGTGTTTCTTGTGTGCAGTAACACATTCATGTGGANTTACTATTGAGTGTTTCTTGTGTGCAGTAACACATTCATGTGGAACCCACACGATTTGTTTGTCGTAGGTACGTTACATACTTATTATTTNGATGAGTGTTTCTTGTGTGCAGTAACACATTCATGTGGAACCCACACGATTTGTTTGTCGTAGGTACGTTACATACTTATTATTTGGTTCAGGTGAATTATCTTCAGAGTATTTGAAGCCCATTGTGATATCACAATACAGTTAAGTACTTATGTAAATAAAACCAAAATTGACAAAATTACTGCAATACACACACCAGGCTACTCAACAAATCGTGTGTCATTACATTTGTATGTTTTTTCTAAAAGCATATCTATGACATTATTGTCCTTTTTTTTTTACCCGTATTTGAAATTAATAGATATAGAAATAAACAATCTTTTTTCTTGTTTTTTACTGCAAGAACTATTTTTTTTCTCAAACGAGATTTATCAGAATCAAAGGCCACCCTCGAATTTCATACATTTTGTTTGCATTTCAAGACGTTAGGGGAGAAGAAACGTTTGTTCCGCGAGTAAGGAATGATCGTAAGGATTTTTTAAGCATATTTATTTTCATAACAATATTCCTCTTTCAAACTATTACGTTTACGTTTTCATTGTCCTTGTATCGATTTTTGTCGTCATGAAAATGTAGTTAGGACGTACGTGTTCAATACCGTAAGTATACACTCAATTCCAAAACATTAACTAGTTTGTTCCGTAAATATCAGTAAAAGAAATCACTACTACATGGATTGTTATTAAAAAAATATTTTTATTTGGGATTTAAATACCCGTTCTAATTAATTCCATTAAATCATTTGAGTCGATAAAAAAATTTGAAAACATCAATTATAACATAATTATGTTCTAATGGTTTGAAAATTGTCAACCGCCGCGCAGTTTGATGTATAGTGGTGTATTTAGTCAATGGGTTAAGTTCTTGGGGAAAGTAACGTTTAGAGGGAAGGCTTGAGCTAATGTTATTTCAAAACAAATTTCGCTGCAACCATATAATGAGCAAATCGGAATAAACTAATTGAAAGGAATGTATTTTTAAAGCGTCAAACTAATATTTAAATAATATTTCTAGAAGATCATAAAGATGAACTCTATATCTGTTTTGATTCGACAATGAAACTAAATAATAATCGATGTGTTTTTAGTGATAACTTCGCAGTATTGTTATTTCAGTAAAATTCGGAATGTATCGTATTTAATGTAATTAAATTGGCTGCCAGCGGCAGAACATTTCTCTACACGTCATTACTGATGATTTAATTGAACTTGATATTATTTTGGAAAAACTACAGTTGAGTTGTTCAACTGCACCGGTCAGCTGCTTTATTGGTAATTTTGATTAAATTTAAGGTTGTTGCGTTTACTTCCCAAGGTGGCAACCCTTCGTTGGTATATTGACGACACTCGGTCGTTGCGACACGTGGGCGAAACGCGTGGAAAAGTAGTTTTGCGGAAACGGGAAAAGTATCGCCGATGACGACCATAATAACAGTAATAATAACGTTAAAACTGCTTAGCTCGGCGGTGCTTGGCGAGCGGAAGAGGTTGCGGTTCGCAGTTTCCCCGCGTGCGACACACTCACTATGCACGCCCCTAGGGGTAATTCACCCGCGGGGCGGAGATGGCCCGTCCCTTTGGCCCCAAGCACTCCGCCCAAAGCGTCGCGCAACCGCTACTGCGGTAGCCAGCGATGTGTTGTATCGCAATAATTGTGCCGCCACCGTCGTGTCGTCACCGTACACTGTATGCACACCGAACTAGTCGGACGTCAATAGTTTGCCGACACATTATTTTTACTTGCCTCGAAATTGAGTGGTCGCGTTTTTTATTTGCGTGTCGGTAAAAAGAATAAAACAATTACCGTCGCCCGACCGTTTGTGATCTCCGTTTTTCTGGAACGTCGTACGAGTTTTCCGAAAGGGGTAAGTAAGATAACAATGTTGTTCTAAAATAAGTATGTCGTAACGATGACCTCGGTAGGATGTTGATCTCGAGATTTTTTTTTTTTCGGTACATCCACGTCTCTTTAATATCGTATTAAAACTTTCAAAACTTTTTAATGACTTGGAAAATATGAAAATAAATATTCTTTTCGAGTTTTTTTCTGAAATATTTTCGAGAAATAATTAAATTGAGTATTTCTCTTTGAAAAGTTTTACAACGACATATTTGTTTATAAAATCTCTCAAAATGCCAATTATTTATTATACAAGATAACAAATAATTAATGTTCAATACTCATCGTTTATCAACAAGGGAGCTACTGATGTATATATGGCGGGTGTTTAGTTATTGACTGATATGATTCATAACTGCAACGTTATTTTTAAATTAAGTAGTAAGGTATATAAACAAAACACGCCCTTAAAACTTATTAACCATAAGGCAGTTAAGTAGGTTCATTTTTTTTAATAACGAATTTTTTAATAGCGTGATAATTTACTGCATTCTTTCAGTATTCACATATACTTGCAACACCCTACGAGGTTACTGGTTAAATAATGGCGTCTAAATGTCTGCGGTAGAACACGTTTTTAATGATACATAAACTATCTGTGCGTGTACTTCACACTTCTCTAAAAAATCCTATCTGTATTTGGTACCCGCTACACCTTTTTTTAATTTATAAATTCCTTTTATTTTTTAATCAATTTCTTTTAAATTATTTAAGGAAGGAATGAATAAATATATTTTAAAAAAAAATTAATTTCAACGATTAAAGGTATTGCTACTTTACCTTTTTTTATGTATAATAAATAAAGAAATACTTTTATGTGTAATGTGTCGATTTAAAGATTAAAAAATTCTCGAGTTATAAGTTTAAAATTATTATTGTATGATCAAATGATATTTCTTTTATAACAAGCAATTACTCAAATCATATAAAAAATAATAATAATAACTATTAAAAAATATTAAAACTAATAAATACGAATGATATTCCTATCGAGACTCGAGTGTTCAAATAAATAAAACAATTTTTTTTATTAAGTTATGTTTTATAAGATTGAAAAATAGTCTTGAATAATAAATTAAAATTCACATAATTTCAGCACCATGTTACAGTTTAGAGTAGTTTTTTATATTTCCGTATAATAATTTAACAAAGGATAATTTTAAAGTACTAACAAATAGGATTTGATCATTTTTTAAATTCTCGTATCTTATGTTGTTTTAAAAATATATGTAGTTTTAATTCATTATCAATGGTAACTAAATGAAACTGCAATAAATATTCGTTCTTATGAATATAAAATTGTATAATTAACAGTTCATAGTTAAAAAACCGTAACGATGAAACTGAACGATATTGACGGATCTGTTAATATGCGCTCAGTACTATTTTATTAAAATATTAGCATTTTGTTCATTGAAAGTTTTAAGCCGAGTACTATTTTATGTAACGTCGGTAATGCTGTGCAAACCTATAAATGAACTTAACGCGACGTGTCAGTTACAGTACCGAGTGTAATAATTAATTATTGAAATTAATTGTTTCCAAACAATGGTATAGAGATTTTGTTTACACAATACAATATAATTTGAAAAGTTTTTTTTTTTACTATTAATTTTAAATATAATTTACCGGGTTCGTGTATTAAATCAACAAACGTGATTAATGACGAATACTAGTTTGCTATTTTCGTGACATTTTTTATTCGTGAAATTCTGAAAAAAATAAAACACTAATAAATCAAACGCGCAATGATCATTGCTAAGGTTCAGTTTTTCTGGAGTATTTCATCGTTATTTTTCTCTGTCACTAGCAATACATATGAAACCCACATCACTCCATAGACACACTTTGCACACCGATTGACGTTTAAACATTCATCATAAATGATGGAGGTGTTTGCGTTATGTGAATTCGGCAAATGTATATGATTTGTGTTTTACTTTGAGAACATCAAGTAACTACGAACGTTAATGTTATTTATCTTCCGAATATGATAAGTAAATAAGCTGTAGCAAATTTGAGTTTAGATATTTGGACGCTCCTTACTTGCTTCATATTTGGATAAGAACACATAGGAAGTAGGCGTGTATTCCAAAAGGGGATCATCGTAGCTTTAGTGTTTCTAATCTAAATAAGAGACTTGCTGCATAACTGAATTCATATGCGAAACTTGATGGTTTCTAAGAAGATAAAAACCCGACGGTTTCTACATGAACTAAGTACGAATTTTGTGTATCCGTCAAAACATGTAATAAAACAACCGAAATTGAAATATCGACTAAAATCGTTTTCACTTTAAGTTACACATTTTGTTGTCAGTGTCTATGTATAGGCTCGAAGACGGGAAACTTTTCTCGCCGATGTGTCATCTTTTTGTCTTTGAAATCACGCATTAACTTAAAGCAGTGAGTGTTCCATATGAACTGACTCGCCGACGAACACACCAAACTGAGTTATTATGTAGTTAATCGGCTATTAAATTTGAAATTATAGCCCATAACGGTACAGAACCCTCAGGTGCAATGTACGCCGTACTGCACCCCGAGAACGTCGGCTGGCGAGGGACAAGGAAGGAGAGGGCGAAGGTATCGGAGAAATCATCGATTTGCCATACAGTCATTATCGACACGATATGGGAATTTACTGAACGCGTGTGGCTCTTTATGTTTTGGAAAAACGATCGAAATTCAAATAAGTCTCTCCCACACCGCAGTACTCGTGCTGCATGCGATCGGTTTTTTACAGTACGGCTAAATATCAGAAACAAAAACACCCTATGGGCGTCCTAACCGATCGCTGCTATGTATATCTAGCCGATGCATTAACTCCTTCCGATACACCGCCCGCCGTCACCTCCCATCCGTTTATTGAAACATCTAACGTGCCTTAGGGCACAACAAGTATCTGTGGAATGTTTCCTAAAACATAATTACTGTCAATTGCGCCTAGGACGATTTTACTGCAATAGCTGATCAATACACACCGATTTGAAGTGTAGTTTTAATTATCATTAATTGACATTACGATTCGATTGTTTTGTCTGTTAAAACACGTTTTTATAAAAAAGCATCGAGTATTGAATTTTTTTTAAACCGGACCCGTGTTGGGATCGGTGTCACGTTGGGTATCGATATTGAACAGACACGATCGCCGTTAAAGTATTACTTTTATGGTATTTCAGAATAATATGTCAAGTACACAAGAAAAATACATTTTTTTAAATTTATATCTATAGAATAGCCGAGCACGAGTAATTGTTTTGAATTTATATTCGATCTTTTTTCAAGACATTACCAGAATATTTCCAAGTGATGATATCAAAGCTAATCTTTCGAATTTTACATAACATTTAGCCTTTAATAGTGTAAAATTAGAGGAAAAAGAGTATAGATCGAATGATATTTTTCATATAGTTTGAACTGAGTTCAACGTGTGTATGGATTTCGGTTTGCAATTATGTGGTCTGGAAGCGGTCGTATCTTATCTTAAGATCACTTCAACGATAAACCAAAAATAAAAGGCGTTTCTAAAAACGAAGGTACATAATTTCAAGGGAAATAATGTCAGAATATTATGTACACACGTTTCATGGTCGCGAATACATGAGATCGGACACATTAGTCATCTGAATTGTTATTGCTGTTTGCCGAGTATATGATTCGCGTTTTGTCAACCTCTAATTAAATTTTTGAGCGTGTACACGAATCGACTGTTATTAATGTTTATTTTGTTTGGCAAACGAGATCCGTCACTTAGAAATTACCGAGACTGGCGTGAATACAGACCGAACACGATCGCCCTAAATAAGTCCACATAGTTATATCGTTTCATAATTGCCACAGTTTTCATCGTAATTAAATACTTAGAACTCTACTGCAAACGAGTACTAGTTTCGCAGCAAATTTATCGTTCACATTTAATCGACAATATAATCTTGAAATCTCCATCCGTTTGTAATTTTAATAATAATACGACCTGAAGTTGGTTGTTCGAAAGATTTACCCGGAATTCGATTAGTCATTATTGACTATTGATTAATGTATTTATTTATTTTTTTAATTCGTGAATTGTACGAATCATGCAAAAATGTGTTGATATTTTCGATAATATTAATAGGAGATTTTATTTATTTGAAATAATTCATGTATAATTCAACGGCAAAAAAAAAAAATTAACATTTGAAATTTCCCACATGGTTTATGTATGTTAATGTTATGCCTAATGAATAGTTTACAATTAGAAACTATCTCTAGGAAAAATATGAGTGTTGAGTATATTATTAAACTGCACGGCAGATAATCACGCCCAACAATCACATGAATTTAAGTGAATAAATAATAATAAATACGAACGACGTACAATTAAAGTAATAATTCTTCTATCGCGCTGTTTAATTCAATTAAGCTTTCCAAAAATCATTGAAGAAAAACTGCTTTCGAATACATGAGAAAACAAACAATAGTTTCGTAAAAGAAAATGTATTATTCAATTAAAAGTGAAAAGATTAGTATCAAATCTAATTGTCGAATTAAGATATTCAAATGATTAAAAAGTTTTAAAGTCATAAAAAATAATAATGTTCTTAAGAAATAAGTAACTACAAGTTCATTTTTATAAAAATACAAGTTTGATTTTTAAATGTTTTAAATTAGATACATAACGTGTATCAAAATAAATTTTACTAATTTAATATATGATATATAAAAGAATAGGTTATTTTTAGCAAACGTCGTAGTCGCAAATAGGAGGCGCATTGTCAACTTAAAACTTCCTGGGATAATATTAGCCCCCTCTCCGAACAGATGTCACCATTATTTTAAAATTTTGCAAGGAAAAATAAAATAATTCTTTTTATTGTTATAACTATTTTTTTTGAAATCTTGTCTTTTAATATTGTGAGTGTACAATGTCATCGGTGTAACATGCGTATTTTATTATAAACATAGTAATATTTTTTGGTTTCAATAATTATAGTTGAAATATTACAATAGTAGTAATTAGATGTATGTACACAATTGTTTTTTTGTAAATAGATAAAAATAAGGTTTTTGGAACATAAGCACTCTCAAAATCAAAATAGTATTTGCGTGCTATGATAATAATTTACAAAGTTTTTCTTCGAGAAGAAAATTTATGCTATTAATTGATTTTTTCGTTACTCAGAGAAATCGATTAAAGAGCATATATGTTGTAAACAAATTGGATTATTTGACCCGGCGAGCAACACCGATGGGGTTACGAATTTGATTAATTATGATACCTTACCAACAACAATTATGCATTTGCAGGAAATTGAATCGGCAAACCGTTTCATCGACCCCTATGCAGTTTTTTTCTACATTTCTTTTTAGTACCTATTTCCCTCTCGTGTCATCGCAACCCTGTACGGTAATATGCTTGCCGTTATCGTCGTGTGTGCGGTCACCGAGGAAATTGCAATTTCCCCACTAGGCATCCTTTAGATGAACTCCATTTTACGGCCAATTTACTTCCGGCACGCTATCCGGAAACGAACTTCCAGTACCTCCGTAAACTCGTCAATAAACTCTTAAGTACAAATCGTATTTCGCTCACAACGCCTTTAAGAAGAGCTCGTCGATAAAAATAATAATAACCTTTACCGAGTAGCTCGGCCGTTATATTTTCGGTTTGAGTGGAATACAAAAAAAAAAAATTAAAACACAATGATAATTAGAAAATACAAATTCGCCACGTGTACTTTATTGGCAGTCTGAACTTCTTTATACCGACCCCGTGCACGGCTATCAACACATTATGAATATTAATTGAAAATTAAAAATCCATTAAGCACAAAGGTCTTTTTCCATTTAAAGTTGTATTAGACTTCTCAGCGGTCACCTTATTATCAAGTAATAACAACATTTCATTATTAAAACATCACCTGCTGAATAGTAAAATAATCACTTTATTCTGACCTCAGAATCCCACTGAAAACGGATTATGATTATTCTAATTAAAATAATTTTTAATGGAAAAAATAATAAATAGAATTCAGGTTTACAAGTACTATATTTCATTTTATAGATATTTTTTACTTTCCGTCTCATTGACATAGGTGTTAATAATATTTGAAAATCGGACGGTTGCAATTGCTTCGGGCGCAAAACAAAAAACCATTCAATTTCTTTGCGTTCGTGTCATTGCTATCTATACTAATGATATTCCTCTGGACCTCCGGCTACAATATTATTTTACCATTTTGTATCAGATGTATATCGTCTCCACTTGATGTTATAATAGTTTAAAACACCGCGGCATCTACAGCGTCTGCCTGCTACAACTTTTTATGAAATGTTACATCTTGAGTGTAAAAAAAAGGATTAAGAAATAGTCTTAAATCATGTCTTTAACTTAAAATTTATTAACATTGGTAAAACATTTAAATTGAATTTATTGTGTTTTATTTATATAACAATGTAGTCATGACTAACTGGTGTGCCTTGCCGCAGTAAAGCACACGTTTTCATAGCGATTCGGTGAAATCTAATAACAACGTTATTGTGATTATGAGCGTCCTGCTTCATGTCCTACACGTGTTCCGTTGTTGATCTAATAATTATCGTCTCGGATTCAAACAACATACGATCTAGGGACTTGACGCGGGCGATTCGGTTCGGATGTAGGCGGTCTCAGATCTCCTACGCTCGCGTAATAAATATTGTATTCGGTCTGAGAAATTTCAATCTTGACTTGTAATAAAAATAATGTACGTTGTACAACAAGCCGGTCCGTTCGACATAGTAATTAAATCGGCATAAACACACGGAGTTTCTTATGCAAATAACAAAATTAAAACCCCTTCCGACCGGAGACCACCGTGTCATCTGAACTCGCCGAAGACCGGCGTAGCAGTTTTTAAATGTCCGACAATTACTTCCAATAAACATCGATCAGCTACTCCTGACAACTTGTGTACAACGTTGTTTGATATTATGGTTACAGTCTATTGTGTGTGTGTGTAACAATACAATATAACGCAGTTATTTAGCAGCTGCTCGACGCGCACAAAAGGATAACTGATTCGACAGGACATGATATATATTATGTGCAGTTAACCTGAGAGACTTCATTTAACTCCCACCAAATCGATAAATTCAACGACGGCGGTCTTTTTGATGAAATATGTGCTTCGTGTTTTGTCGGACAAACAAGTACCCGGTAATAATAGTTCCCAGTCGTTGTGTGAAATGCGCGAGACAAAAGAGTGAAATCTACGAATTGTTTATGTGATATTATTTTTTCACTTATTTTTGTAACGTTCACTCTTCAGACGTCACGAACGTTTATCGGTTCGATAAAAAACGTTTACAGATGATCGATAGGGTTAATCGAGTGCGTACAATAGCATCTGCAACAGTATAAGTCGCATGCGGTAATACTGCCTCAGTGAAAAGTACTCCTTTTCGCCCGAAATCTCAAGAATGTCTTTCCCATTCGTAACCCATCCAACTTTTACGATACAAACCGTAAAAGGTATCTCACTCTGAATGTGTGCTGAAGCTAAACGATTTGGAAACTCTGAGACGGTACAATTTTAAAGCGCTGGGAAATTCTTCGTAGACCACTAATTTTATGTTTGAATTTAAATAATCACGTGCATTCAATAAACTTGTCGTATTTGACAGCACCCATACTTACCGATCAAACCGTTTGATGGTTAGGAACAATAATTTCACACGGACAACAATCGGTTTTACATCCCGTAAATCGATCAGACACGAGTTACCATCTTTAAATTAGGTTTAAACCAATTTAGCCTTTTATTCCCTCGCAGACATCACGCAAACAAATGTTTAGGGCGTTATTGTGTTTTGTTCGTTGCATCACGTAATTAGTAAAGGTATCATGTTTAAAAACATTGTAAAAAGTTAAGTATATCTAATTGTGTGTTGTATTTCTATACGTTTCCATCATTACAACATTTGAATTCGTGTGAAAAAAGTATTGCATAATACCTAATTTAGTAAATTAAGATCATATTGGCTATGTTTGATTTTAAAAGAATATTTGACGCTCACAACCTTCCATCTTATGACTTATGTGTTACAGTAAATTTAAGTCTGGAGGAGCGACTTTTAATTCGGTGTTAAAATTTCTCGACAGTAGTTATGAAATTAATTCTTAGTAAAGTTTCAACTTGAAATCTTTCGTGTCAATTTACACTTTGAATTGTTGACCGTAAGGGGATAGTAATGTTTAATGGTAGAAAAAGATGACAGAAAACAAACTCTGTTAAGTTAGTCGCGGTGTCTTACCTCTGACGAGCACCTAGTGCGAAAGGGGTACGTTCGTGACTGCTTCGGGCTTGGCCGGCTATCACGTCACCTGGGTCGCAGTTGCCCTTTTTGTGTGCACGCCGATTCATTATCTTTATAGAATTGTTGTTATTTGTAAAAAATTATATTCGTGTACATGTTGTATCGTACAAGTATAACTCAACTGACAACATGTTAAGATGAGTGCAAACTATCTAATAACAACATGACTGGGGCCACTTGTCAAAATCGCTTTTAATTTATTCCGCCCACCGGGTCGTAGTCTGGAGTTTATTTTATTGTTATTTTTATTAAAAAACAGAAGATATCCGTCACTTGAGTATGATTTGTCGTTTGTACACTTTTTGTATAATGATTATGTACAATCTAATAATTATTTTTTTTTGTTTTTAATTTAGAGAAATTTGATTAAACTGGTGATTTTTCTTTTCTTGCCTACGTTAGTTGTCAAAGCAATAACCGTTGGGATGCCGTAGAGAAAAATCCTCGGTGAAATCATCTTAGTTTTTTTAATTTATTTACACTCACGCGCTTCAGATAATTTTTTAATTTACATGTTAATTATTTCCTCTTTTTATAGTCCTATTAGCTCTTTGAGTAATAATTTTCAGCGAAATTCCGCTTATAATTTGTACAAATAAAACCATAAAATCCGATAATATGTACAAGGTTTATTTTTATTTAAATTCATTAAAATGTTAAAAGAATCATATTTTACCAGTGTCTTTGACGATTGGATAAAATTATCCTTCAACATTAATGAACTTGAAGCGGTTACTTAATAACGGTTGTATGTAAAACGGTTTATCTTATTTCCCATTAAAAAACTGGACATTTGTATTTACCATTGTTTGTACGGACATTGTCGTTCAATTCGTTTCGGTAGTTATCGGCATAACGCGTGTTATGAGAGATAACGAGTTTTGATTAGTGTGCGTGGGACGTGTGCATTATAATCTTTGATAAGGATCTCACCTAACGTTAGTCGGACCTATTCGGATATCAGTGCAAAGCTCCGGAGTTTATTAAGTTATAATTACAGTTTAAAATTATAGAAAATATACCTGCACTGTATTCAGCTATGCAACAAATTGTTATGAATCGAGATTCTTAGTTTTTGATAAGATGTTTAGGGATCCGCGGTAGGTTATAATGGTTATTATTAGATGCGTCAATTATAGCGTTTATCGTCTGCATGATTTAATGAGACCATCAGTGTTAAAAAAATCAGAGCGATTTTCGATATTTAAAAAATATTGAGATCATAATAATTATACAGCGTACACGACTGAGTCATGTTATTAGAATGTTGGACGATAATTGCTGTTGTCTTAGGATTTTAGAATCACTATGGTTAAAACTTGCGTTATAAAAAAAATGCAAGTGATTTTTTTAGTATGATTTGTCGTTTCAATGTTATCGGGAAACGCCGCAATCCAAGTTTGAAAATATTGAGTTCAGATTTCTGCTCGAGCCAATTTATCTGTAACTAATTTGTCGTTAATGTTTTTTTTATTTGCAAAATCATATCATTTTGTTGAGGTTATTGAATTTATTTAAACGTTATTTAATTGATTTCTTACAGGAGTGAAGTTATCTTCCAACTATTAATACTGATGATGTGACAGAGTGTGCAAAATTCGAATCTGAACTTGTCAAATGTCCAATTAAAGCTCCGCGTAAGTGTAAAATATAAATTAAAATAAAAAAATCATTAACATGTCATTACATTAGTTATTTTTTAGTATTTAACACATTTTTCATAATGAGTTTGGATTGATTTTTTTACGGATCGATTGAGTTTAGAATTGGTCTAATCAAACCGAACTCGGGTCAGTTATAGTTCTTGAAAAATGAATTTTTCCTTTGTGAAAATTCTCTGTTGTTAAACGACTAGTCTTTTGCAGCGTAAAAGTTCATTAGTTTTAAGATAAAGTGGTTATATTTTGGATAGCTGAACATGTTATCAGGTTAGACGCTAACGTCCAGCCTGTGCCACTTTGAACACCGAAGGCTCTAAATTGTTACTCTGGTGCAGACTTGTACTGTCTTGATTAGTTAAATATGTTCGCCGGACAGAGTAGACGTCGAAATAACTACAACAGTTATTACTGAATCGCTGTGACGTCCGGACGTTTCGCACGATGCGAACAACAATAATACGCAGACCGCCACACGCGCCTTTATTATTATTATCATTGTACTCGTTTGCAAGATGTCGCGTGTCATCCGTCGAGTACGGTCCACTTAACTCTCAGATCGGGAAGGGTTGGACGACGGCGGTACACGACCTCAACACAAACACCGCCGGTCGTTGCCGTTGGCCCTTTGGCGCGTACACTCCTCCGCTTTGCCGTCCACGTTATATGATGACGAGCGTGTTGACAAAACCGCTGGGATGCCACACACACACACGGGTACGGTTGTTTGTGTTGCTCGCCGACGACCGCTTGCATTTTTAATAATCTGTTCGCGCGCGCTCGCCCCGGGGGACTGATTCGGCTCTAATTTACCGAAAAACTCGCGTATACCACCCGGCCGCATCGCGGGACGCTACGGGCGCGCGCGAAAGACACGTACGCTCTAATGCGGAATTGGCTGCGTCCCAATCGTGTTCCCGTCGTTTTCCGAAATCGGCTGGACGACGCAAAAGACAAAAGACTGGAATTCGTTAACGACTCGCTCTCCCCGACAAACGGAGACGGGTGAAACTGTGGTCGGGATCGTCGAGTAATTATGCGTTACGATGGCAATTAAATCGAACTAGAATGTGGAAAAAATTCAAGACGGAATCCGAGGAATGTTGAACGGACGAAACACAACGTAATATTGAGCCCACACAAACCACACGCTCGCGCGAGACATGACGACGGTGGCCGGTGTATAATTATCATTACACGCGCCCGACGTACGGCTGTCGTGTGTTTCCACGCCATTGGCGTTACCATAATAAGCGCATTGGTACGGTCAAGTCTAGTGGACATTCCACAGCGCACAATTCGAGTGTTATACTCACCTGCTGGTCGTAAAGCAGAAACTAGCGGAAATTATCACTGTCCGTCAAAAACGTCTGACGATTTTACGCTCTTAATTTCCCAACAATTGGGTTAGGTCGTGTAACAGATATTTTCCACTGTTCAGTTTACACTTACTTCCGGCGAAAACGGTTTTATTAGTTTGAAATGACTGGACGTTTTTTAAGAAAACTTTTATATTCAAACCGATTACATGACCCCGAGGTTTCAACTTATAGATTTTCTCAGTGGACAAAAATATTTGAATTGGGGTCGGTTGGCATAAAAAGTTTTGATTGGAACAAAAGAACGATTTTTTTTTTTTTTGTAATCGTGATTATTTTTAAACGTATTGAAAAGAGTGACAAGAGTTCTCTAGTCGCATAGTAGTTTTCTCGAGATGTTCAGATGTAAAAAAAATGATTTTTCACTTTTCGAGATGGACCAAGCCAACTGTAAATGTGGTCTTAAGTAATTGCCAGACACTTTATGGAATGGAAATAATAATTATAATGGATAGGGTTTCGACCGCCTCATTAAGCGACACGACCGTCTGTCAATCGGGACGGGGAAAAATCGCCGTGTATTTATCCGGTCCGTACGACGATATCCACAGACACTCACACGAACGCTGCTGTCCATTTGTGTTGTCGTCCCGTGACAAATCGTCGTGGCCAGAGAGGTTTTTTTGCCCAGGGCACGTGTATCGTGCCCGTTTATTAGTCGACAAATTTCACGGTGCAGCCGCCCCAGTCTCCATATCCATCGGTCAGAACCGCCGCCGTTTGTTTTTTAAATACATTGCAGCATTTCATTCGTTATTATTATTATTATTACTTTTTCGGGTCTATCTCCGGCCGTGTCTCCATCTCGTTCGTTCGTTATCGTCGGCTGTTTTCTTCGGACCGGCCCGTTTTAATGGGAATCGATCTCGGCCGCTCGCGCTGTTCATTTTCACGTCCCCCGAGGCCGGCCGCCACATCTTTCCTCATAATACACTCCGTGGCCCCGTAAGTACTGCGGCTCGAGCGGAGTTATTCTGGAAGAGCGTGCCGGTCCGTTTCGGGTTGATTTAGACGATTCGATTAGTTTTGTATACACAAGAACAGCATATAACATTAGCTTGTATACATACGCCAGGCAATCGGATAGAATAATATTGTGAATACCTCCGGGCGGTTGGCATTATCGGTGTGCATGTGTTTTTATTTTTAAATAATGAATTTTATTTAAAGTCTCCGTCGGAAAAAATACACACTGCCCGTTATGATTTCATATTCGTGCCGACATGAATTTTTTACACACATTTTTTCACTATAGAGATTATATGTCAACAATCGGGTACCACCAAATAGTACTTGGTACATATTTCATGTCGTCCGACGAAAACCAAGTGTCAAGTGGGTTTGAATAATAATTATTTCCCCCTCCACAAAAAATTGAAGTCGGCGTGTGAATAATTATTTTGATTTTAGCGTAGAGTTGTCTCTGTCGTCTGAAATAGCCGCGAAACACAATTTAGTAATTTAATAAATCAATAAGAAGAGCGACTTATTTGATGAGTAAACTTGTTGAGAATTGTATTTTTTTAATACTTGTTCATCAGTGTCTTTTTTCATACGCGATTTTGCCAAAAAAAAACGGTTCGTTAAACAACAATGTTTTTCGTTCGTTCCCCGTACTCGGGTGTTATTTTTTTTCTAAAGAATAGTTTGTTTTTTTTAATCTAATATTCAATTACTCAATGGATGTTGTTTTTTGTTTACGCCGGTGAACTTTTGAGGACACTCAAAAACCGAGATAATGTTACTTATTGTGAGATTTGACCGCAGAGGCATTTGGAGTACTCGGTCGCGTGTCGTGCGTTACTGGGCACGCGTATCACAGCGCCGTCAGGGCAAGTGTGTAATATCATATCTGCAGCCTCAAGTGATAGGCCAATGGTTTTTTGTACGGGGATTAAAAAAAATAAATGAAGAGAATTACTAGTAATAATAAATAAGCCCATTACGCGCACTTTGGGCGTTTTGTAAGGCACACTGTGTATAATGTGCGCACTAATAGAACAAGTACACATGACGCGAACAGTAACAAAAAGGCCTTAAACTAAGTACGCCGCCCACTCGTATATTAATTAACGGAGCGTGCGCGACCTGGTCTCTCTTTCTCATTCTCGCCATTCAATTACAGCAGTACATGTATTATGTCTTTACATTTTTTTTCTTATTCAGACACCACTACTTTGTGTTTGTTTAAGAAACCGCCAGAAGCAATCGGTGCACACGTCTGGGAGTTTTTTCTCAATTTCGTTACTCGACAATTGAACATATACAGTCTACGAGTCAACGACAAATGTACACTAACATAAGAAAATAATCGATGCCCTAAAAAAATCGCTTCATAACGTTCTCGATAAATTGTTATGTAATTCACTATTTGACAAATAAGATAAAAAAAATTCAAATTTAGTTTTGTTAGCATTCAAGAACTTAGGGCGAAGAACGTACGGATTCGATAATGTTAATCAGCTTTGGTGTTTTACACATTTAATTAAGTTTGCATTTTTGTTTTTCAACTTTCAAGTTAATCTTTACAATTTTCTCTCGTGTACGATTGGGTCTCGTCCAAATGATATTTTACCGTTTAATTTGAACGAATATAATATTATATTATGAACTCGTATTACGATGACTCTTATCGCCAAAAAACGTACACATATCAGATACCCGCGACCAGCGTACCAATAATAATTAGGGTGTCTGAAATATTTACCTGTAAAAAGTAATTTCCATGTTCATAAGAGACTTTCATGTTTTTAAACGAACAAAAACCGAAGAAATCTTCCTAAATTACAGCAATAATTATTCATAATTTATCATTAATGCTTACATAATATATTCTGTGGAACTTTGACCAAGAATTAAGAAGCAAATAAATGACTGATAATTATTCATAAGACAAATTGGACTCTCATTGGTTAGTGGTAACACATGAGGAACAAGTTTTTTCCACGCCCTCTGCACACGAAGCTGTTTTTTAATAGTAGTTTTGCACTGATTTGAATAAAAAATTCAGACGCGTTACCCAAGAGATGTTAAAATAATCGATATGAATAAAATTGTACGTCTAGCTTCTAGTAGAGTTCATCAAAACGCGTTTAAATTCCGTTTAAAAATATTTACTAATTGCAGTACAGTGTGCAAGTTACAATAGTGTTGAGTCACTGCCGGAACCTCTTGTGCAGATGACCCTTTTCGTAGGTCATCGTCTACACAGCGGCGCAACAATAGAATTTAGCGTACACACTTTAAGTAGGCAGTGTTTACTTTGTTATGATTTTTTATTAAACCCTATTATTTTTTGTAACACTATTCAACACTGTGATGCGGCGCACGTCGGCTAGTCATTCTTGTTGAAGTGGTTTTTGTTTCTATAGTGAAGCTTTTGAAATATATAAATACTCTTCAAAAGAATAAAACGTATTTTTATAAAGTTATTGGAATACAACGAGATGAAAATGAATCTCATTATTTCTCGCAAACGTCTCAATTAAAACTACGAAAATATAGTTTGAGTAAATCATATTGTTATTGCATCAAGTTGAATATTTGATAATGCAAGTTTAAATTGTAAACTTAAGGTCGTATTGGCGAAAACATATCATT